TTGTAATTATTTTAATTATTTTTATTTCCAAACTGATTTTAACCAGTTCTATAGTAAGGTAACATTCCAATAGACAATATGCAAAGCTTTTTTTTCAGTTTACAGCAGTATTTATTACACAAAATTTAAGTAAAGCTTAACATGCCGATCTTGCCCCGATCTCCCCTAAATTTATTTAAGAAAAGGAGAATTAATTAAGTAGTTATGACTGAAAGAGGGAGAAGAAAGAGAAATTTTGCAGTCACGCGACGATATCACATGATTATACAGATGTATGAGGAAATAATAAAAATAATTTTGATATGGTTTATTTTTGGACGTCGCCCTATTTAGATGTTACTCGAGAATATTTTAACCTGTAAATCTAAGATTCAAATTTGTTTTAACATTATTATACCGTTAAACAAATATTAAAATGTTGACTTATCTTTCGAATTTGAACTTTTAATTTATAAATTTCAACGTTTTCGTCGAAATCGCACTTTTAATGAGTGATAACGAGTAATCTTAAAGAGAAAAATAGAAATTAATTAAATCTAAATTTAAAAAAATATATATATATGTATATATTAAGTATCCATAAAAACTGTTTTGATGTAAATTTACCAGTAAAATATAAATTCTTAGATTAATATTTTTGTTTTATAAAGTAGCAGTCGAGCGAGAAAAACACCTTTCCATTTTTAAAAAATGTATTTCCAGGTGTGTTCCACTTAAATGAATCAAAAGCTCTGACTGTCTCGATGGCTCAGTTGCTTTCTGTGCACAATCTGTCGCAGACCTCGCTACAATCCACCCAGGATCAAGGAATACCAAACATCGTTTTAACAGAAGACGATGAGAAATACCAGAGGAACGGTAGTATCGGTAGCGTGTCCATAAACAGCGACATCAGTCTGCCGAAAATCGACGGACCACCAGACGACTACAATAACAATGCTCCAATACTTAAGAAATTACAGCAGGCACCCGTGGATCTTTCATGGGAGAATCTTTCGTTTTCTGTCTCCAAAGGATGGAGGAAAAAAGGTAAAAAAAAATACATAATAATTCTTAATTCCAGGAAACAGTTTAACCCCCGTAAAATAAAGGTTACGCCATAACATAAAGATGTAGTTGTAATTTATGCTAGAATAATTTTCTGTTATTTGAGTGTTTAGTTTGTTTTGTTAACGCGTGCAAACGTGCATAACAATAGCATTGTTTGTTTCTTGGTGGGAGACACAAAAATAATTAAATATTTTCTCTTATCTATATAAATATTTTTCCAAAAAACTTTCGTAATTTTATCGCTAACGATCAATATTTAATTTTGCAACAGAAAGAAAAGTGATCTTGAAGGATCTGTCGGGTCTGGTGACGTCGGGAGAATTGACGGCAATCATGGGACCTTCGGGAGCGGGAAAATCGACTCTGATGAATATTCTAAGTGGATTTTTGTACGTCGTTTGGAAAAAAAATCCTAAAATTATATATTATGTTCATTAAATCACATGCCCATTATAATTTAATTGAAAATTATTATTCTTAGGAATGCAAAACACGAAGGCAAAATCCTAGTGAATAATCAAAGAAGAAACCTGAACATGTTCCGGAAATTGTGCTGTTACATTACTCAAGATGATTATCTTTTACCTCATTTAACGGTTCTGGAATCCATTACTGTGGCCGCAAATCTTAAAATTCCCTCATCCGTATCCCAAGAAGAAAGGAAGCAAATGGTACTAGCAGCGTAACTATCGAACGAATGCTATCTTCATAATAATCAAAAATTTAAAAAAATAAACAAATATATTATTTTTTGTCAGGTGACCGATGTCATAGAGATGCTAGGTTTGACAGAATGCGAGAAAACTAAATCCGTTCATCTGTCTGGAGGACAGAAAAAAAGATTAAGCATCGCGCAAGAACTTGTTAGCAATCCACCCGTTATGTTCTTCGACGAGCCAACTAGGTAAAAAGACATTTTAAACGAATGTATAAAATAAATTATGCATATAGATATCGACATAGATTCTTTGTAAAAAGATACAGGAAGATGATATTTATATACTTTTTCCTTCTTAATATTTAGCATAACCGTTATGCAAATGAACTATGCATAAGAATTTAAAAAAAACAAACATTTCTCTTTAATTACTCGCTTACAGTTTAAATCTATAAAAGATAACTCGAAACGGGACGAAAAAAATTAAAAATAAATGAATAAAACAAAATCCGGAATTGCCGGGTTGGCAAGAAAATTCTAAATTGTCTTTCGTTGATTTGATGTGATATTTAGAGTACTTGTTCAATTTAATTACCGGTATTACCAGGGTTGTACGTAAGAAATAGATGCGTGAAGCCCCAAATATAAAGAGCCTCAAAACAATTTCATTCTGACAAAAAGTAAATTACGCCAATATGCTTTGTAAAATATACATGAGATCTACAAAGATGGATCCGAGTGCAAGAAGAAATCGGAATTCCATTACTTATTTGAAATAAGAATATTTTTTCGGTTTGGTATCTTTAAAAAGGTCTGGCGAGAACTTAGTGTCTAGGGCCCACGAGAAGCATTAAGTACGAGTGTTGTCAATCTGTATTTAATTATTTGCTACTATAACAAATTATGGGTATATATGATAAGCATATCGAGACGAATGTTCATGCGAATAATTTTGACTAGATTTTAGTTTTCGTGCAACAGTAAAGATGTTCAGTTACACGTAAAATATTTTTTAAACAAGTATTCTTCTTTAATATAACAGTAAAAAATGCCGTTAATAATAAAAAATACAGTCGCTATTTCAGTAATAACATACCTTAAGAGATAATTATAAAAAAATACAANATTGTCGTCGTGTGAGACAATAGTAATGATATAAATTTAATTTTTATTCAGACAGCTTGTCATTTTTCTCTTTAACTAGAAATAAAGAAAAATTGTTAATTAACAAAATCTATTTCTATTGTATTGTATCCGAAGGAAAATTTTTAACAACTTTTTTACTAATGAAAACGAAATCTAACAAAATATACGTTATTTATTTTATAATTTCGTAGATTAGATATCGACCCTATTAAAAAAAATCAAGGATTTCCTATACAAAATTTAACTACTGTATTCTATCCAAAAATTAAATTAAAATAATATATATACATACTTTTTTTTCAATTAAATATTTTAATGATATATGAACGAATTTAATGTCGTATTATTCAAAAATAAACAATTCTTTATTCCGAATTAAAGCTGTAGATAAACGTATTTACTCGTTAGCATTTTATATATTTTGAACAATCTATACACGTAGACCTCATCGTATGTAAGTAAAAAAAAAAAAAAAAAAACCACTGAAAACATTAAGGTGATTGACTTTCCATCTCATAGCCTTGAGTCTTTTTATATCACTTTTTTAATGTACTAAATAATTCTTTTTTTAAACTTTATATAATTATATTTGGCCTTAGGGCCTGATACATATATAGCAGGATTTCGTTCTTTGTATTCATCTGCTCGTATTAACACACTGCTCTGAAACAATCAACAGATCTATATGGGACTCGTATTAATAATGAACTACTTATCAAAGTTATCATTTAAGTTTTATTCGATAAATGCCGATCCATTGTCTAGTTATATCGAAAAATTATAAAGGTTAAATACAATTTTACATATCGAATTGAAGAGTTAAACAGTTTAGCACACTGTTATTAGCCTATTTAACGAATCAAACATGGTAATAAGTTAGACGATTTGGTACATCGCGATAAAGGATACGTCTAATTTCATCGATCTACGTCGAGATCGAGAGCCAGCTCCGTGTACCTTACTGGAATTAGATGATTTAATAGACCATATAAGAAGTTATACTATTTTAATGGACCATAATAAGTAACTAACTGATTCGTAATCAATAATAATAACAACTTATTAGTAAATTCAATCATTCTTTTGATTATGGTATGAATTTATTGTTATTGAGGTGTGTTGGTTTTTCATTTCCAATAAACTTCACTATTTAAATTCTGTCAGTGAATATTTAAAATTACAATATATATATATGTATCAATATATTATATTAAAAACCTTAAAAATCCTATATATAACTTATATATGGGTTATTTTTAAGACTTATTATAAGGCTCTCTCTCTCTGTATATCTGTAACTTACATAAATATTTATATATATACATAGAGAGCGAAAGCATTATAATCTTATAATCTAATAGAGTTACAAACTGTTGATTAACTTATAATTGTCTTAGCAAAGTATTTCCATTTTAAAATATTGCATAAACAAAGGGTAATTAAATACTTTTCTTGTTTATTTAATTACAAACTCAAGTACAACGTAAAAAGTTTCATTTACTAGCAATAAACCAGATTTATTATACACAAAAAAGAAAGATCAAATTGATTATAATTATCACGAAAACTTTATACCATTTCAACTCGAAAAGTCTTAAATTTATATAAAATATCGTATAAGGTGTATTAGTTCGTAATAATAACAAAGACTGATAAGTTTGATTTTAAAAGGTTAATAAGCTTATAAATCTGCCGTAATTTGATAAGAAAGATTCTTTAAATTAATTGTTTAATTATAATCGAATTGTGTAACAAAATAATCTTTCTACCTTGACCACAAGAATGACCCAATTCACGCTTTGTAAAAAGTAAGAAAAATTCTCTATCGCGTGGTATTTTACAGCGAAAATTTTGTAATTATTATTTTTTTCAACGTACAGAATTATTGCAGTTTTATCCTCTATTCTAATGAATATTCATAAGAGAGTAAAAATAAAAAATAAAAAAAATCTTATCGACTAAGAATGAAGGAATAATTAGAAAATGCGTGGTATGAAGAATCTGACAGGATCATTAGAAAAAAGAGTTTGAATGGGGAATGCAGGAAAATTTTGATTCGCGATGCCCTTCACTTACTACTTATGACGTTCGTTGTCTGTGACTGGGTATCTCTCAATGACGTCAGATTCCTTCGGATAAAACTGTTCGTTCAAACTACGTGAATTAACCCAGTCTTCTTTATTACGGGAGTGACTTTGTATCTGTGATCTTTGTCTTATCCATAGTACATCGGTAAGTCTTTTCTTTTTCTTTTCTTATTTTAATTCCTAGTCGGATAAAGCGGATATAGATTCGAAAAGTTCCTACATAATTTTACTTTCACTAGATAATGCAGCAGAGAAAGTAAGTAGGTTCTTTTCCTACCAGGAAAACTTCTTTTCCTGTAACAAAAATATACCGAAATTATTTCCCGCTGGTTCTTATATAAAGCGGTGTTTGTAGGAAACATTCAATAGTTAAAATAGCATTTGCAATTATTAAAAGTTTCAAGGTTTTTTCTCAGATATTCTTGTGGAGTTATGGATTCACTTCCTCAGAATATGCCTATCCTCAGCACTTCTTACATTCGATGACCTCAATACAGAAAATAGTTACATCTTTGACTTTCGATTCATACCCGTCATTCCATTGTTTTAATCTTCGTCTATCTTTAATTAATTTAAAAGAAATTTATTCTTTTTTGCAAAATTAAAAAAACATGGAGGAGAAATTTTAAAAATATTCACAATTTCTTTGCATAGACGTAAGCGAAGGAGTGAGAATACCAGGAAATTTAACATTTCCGTTAAGTTTATTTTAACCGAACTCACAAGATTTAGGTTGTTCGAGGTTCATTGACTCATTCAGATGAATCTTTTTTCCGGGCATTTATATACGACTTGAGATAATCGAAAAGTTTTTATCATTTTGTCGAGAACCAGCGAAGAACGGGAATTAGAAAGAGAAATCCAAGATCGTTCGATATAAATTCGCGCGAGAAAAATACAAGAAAAGAAAAGAAAAGACCAAACCTGTAGATAAGAATCTGATAAATTCCCTAGTAAAAAATACAGGGCCCTCGACAGAGACGTGAAGTCGAGGATCGATGCTTTCAAGAAACTTCCGAACCAAATGCCCCAGGCAAAGAGTCTGACCCATTTTTTTCCCTACATTACATTGTTAGGAATGGGTCGAGAATCGCTTTATTATTATCCCGTAAGGAGTTTATTTGTGAATAGAGTATGTCAGTCTAATTAGAAGTGAAAGTCTTTCTGGGTGATATGGTAATTTCTAATCTACAACTCGTGGCAGAGATTCTTCCTCTTAGACAAGTTTAAAATTGATTTTTCTTACCTTACGTCCTGGTAAGTAGTGTGTACAGTACATTATGCAAATAATTATATGTATCGAGTTTAATGATCTTGATATAAGAACTTGTTAAGAAATTGTTTGCTATGTAAATTAAGTTTAATTAATTACAATTACCGGGTTTAAACTGCTGAAATATTATATAATATAAATCAAAGATCGGTTTTTTCGATAATGTTGGAGTTCGGTAACTTTCGATGGAATTAATGGACTTTTTTCAGAAATATTAATTCTGAAAATGCTCCAAACATCTTTATAATATTTTACTTGTTATTTAAGCTGGAAGCATTGTAAAAATTAAGGAAAAGTATACGGCATGTCGTCGTGCAGGATAAAACCCGTCGACCTTGAATATGTATTTTTCTTTAGAGCATTTGGAAGTAGGCTCGTGGGTTATCAAGTTAATGAGTTTTTTAGGATGTTTACCACTCTCTCTCCAACATCCTCTACATTGAGAAAAACCTATAATTTATTGATAAATTTTTAATGCTCCTAGTTAAGGAATTACTCGAGTGGACCTACTGGAAGATTTAAAGAGGATTTGAAAATTTATAACAGTTCATCTTTGTTTTTCTATTTACTTTTTTAAAATTCTGTTTAAATTTCGTGATTTATGTCCATAGATGATCGAAAATTATGAAACGTTCTGACCTAAATAGTCTAAATACGAAAAAAAAAAATCCTTTACAGCGACAATGTTGTAATTTCTGCTTTACTTCAGCGTAATGTCGCGAAAGTAAAATTATTTCGACATTTGTTATTGATAAAATAACTAATGTTGACGTCAGACGAATGCCGAATTTTGCATATTTACAAAGATCGATACGTAACATTATCGAAATTGGAATACGTAACATTATTGAAATATGACATTTATAAGGTAAAAATTAATCAGAAATCGTGACGAAATTACATTTTAATAAAGGTTAGAGGAAATTAACATGAATTCCATAATTACTGTTAAAGTAGGTCTTTTTGGATATATAGTCGACGGGATGAATGGTTTAATTATTCATTGATAACTTAATCTACGTGTAAATTTTGTGAGACGAAAGAGGAAATAAATCTCTCTTAAATAATTGTTACGGATTATTATGTGATTGAGTTAAACTTGAAAGAAAAAAATAGCTAAAATATATTTATCATATAACAGCAGTATTTATTACACAAAATTTAAGTAAAGCTTAACATGCCGATCTTGCCCCGGTCTCCCCTATATATTTTTTTAATGAAATTTGAAACGAATTATTTAGCTGTATTATTTTTTTTTATTTTTTTATTTTTTTTCCTACTTAAAACCATGATTACAGTATTTTTAACCTATGGCCTCACTTATAAGTGATGGTCAAAGAACAAAAATCTTGGACACTCGCCACAACTTTCTAACATCTATCGAGTTGGCTAAATGACATCTGAAACTACTGGACTCGAAACACGATAAGAGAACAAAAGAAGAAAAGTATCGAACCCCCTGTACCTTACGGGTTAAAAGGAGAAATTTCGGTATCATGACTCTTTCTAAAATCAAGCAGTTAATTAAACAAGATGAGAAGAGACAGAAATCCCATCATATGACAGACGATAGCCACTCGAGTGATCAATAATTGCGGTAATACTTGCAGTTGACAGATGGGAGTGACCACACTTCGATCTGAAGAAATTTACGTCAGATCCGGTTCCATATAATCAATAATAATAGAACGGCGAAGAAAATATATTATTATAGTTATAAAAATAGAAAATATTTAAATTCCCAGTCAAAAATAAATCATAAAATAAAAAAAAAAGTTTATAAAAGTAATGAAAAAAAAAACTACCTTTTGAATAAATCCATAAGAAATTCATACAGACAAGGGATTTATTTTATAATTTATCTCATACGTTTTTAAACAATAAATTGAATACGTATATGAAATATGAAATACAATTTATATTCTATGTTATGTTAAATAGTTTATAGATTTGTTTTTAAATTACATGCTATAATATGAATTTATAGTGGCTTAACTTATCGACGATCAACCAGGCTCTTATTTATCTCAAATATAAGCATATGCACAAGAAAATTCAATGTTTTTCAATATTTTATTGAACGATTTCTATTTAATATCTTCGTCGATAAAATACGATTAATTTAGTTAAAGTTTTAATCTTAATTTTTAAATAATTTAATGTTATTTTAATTAAGATTTTCAACAAAGTTCGATGATAAACTAAGTCTCGAAAGCAATCCAAAGACAATATAAGTTATTTATCATACACTTTTTTTAAAATATGAGTTTAAAATGTAAATATTTATGAAGAGAAATAGGCAGAATGATTCAGTTGTCATTCTTATTATGTAGAACATCTCACATGTATTCAAGTTTATATGCATAAATAAAGATATTGAATTTTGAATAAATCTGAATGAATTTTATATTCCTAAATAAAAGATGATCTAAATGTTGTTCCATCATTAAACAATACGAAATTTTAAATAGGGAATAAGTGATAATGAATTTAATTAATTAAAATGAAAAATGAATACGTTGATAATAGAAAATTCTTAAGTAGAATTATCAGTTTTCACACCTCTTTCACTTTCACTCTTTCATCGATACAATCAAATTACCATTCATCAAGATACTGTTTTAGTTCTATTTAAAATAGGGATGTTCTCCCTTCTGACTTTATCATTAAGTACAAAACTTTTAATTACTGTTTAGTTAAGGGAAACACTTTTAATTGATTCCACTAGCGAATAACTTAAACTCCAACACAAACTCTAACAAGGTACAGTACGTTATACTCTTTTGTATATAAATAGTCGGTGTTGACCTTAACAAGTATTTTTGAAACTACTTTAATGATGTTTTCGTAGGACAGTGAATAAAGTTTTCAATTAATAATTGGTAAAAGTTTGCAAATAAATTTATTATGACGTTAAGAATAATTAAAGTTTGTTTGTGTTACTTTACTGAAATTAATATTACAACCTTTTCTAAAATTAGGAATTAATGGTCCTAGTCATTTATTTCAGTACTTTTCATGCTCTATATAATCAAATCTGTTGTTTCCGGAATTTCTATCTTTAAATTTGTCATTTTTAACATTAGAATTTTCTTCCTTTCTCTTACACTATTGAATTTATCATTTCTTATAGACAATTCCCATCATTTTTTCTTCTACTCATTGTTTACTTTTATCATATTTATCATTTTAACAATTTCCAAGTTTTGATCTTATATTGTATATGAATAATTCATTTTCGTAGCCAAATTTATTATTTTCTATCCCATTTTTATTATTTAAAATAATTAAATAGTTTCTTACATAATTTATTACTTTCCTAGCTGTTAAATAACACGGGAAAAGTGTGGTAATCCGTCAAAAAATGACCCTCAAACATTTTTAAATTTTTGGACTAATGAGACCTTAAAATATCGAGAAATGCAGAAAAAAGTTGGATGTTTTTTTTCCTGTATGTATGGATTTAGTGTGTGTGTTTGTGGAGGAAGGCACGATTTTTCTCTCAATTAAAAGTTTGATAACTCCTGTGCCTTTTGTTTAAACTTTTTGAAATTTTGCACATAGATTTGTATTTTAGAGGGAAATATTTCTAGAAATTTTCAGGAAAATCGACCCATTAGTTCAGAAGATATGGCCCCCCAAATCTTTAATATCTATCACACCAGTCTAAAGACTTAAAGGTAATGTTAAAGCGATTATTAGTAATGAAAACAAGTAAAAAATGCCGGAAAAGTCTAGCAACAACGTTGCCAAAATTTTTTTTTTTTTAATATAGATTCAATTTATTTCTGAGATATTATTTTCTTTATCGACAGAGATTCACGGTTAATGAGAAATATTACGGATAAAATTATTTTTAAAGAATTAGAAAAAACTTAAAAACAATTTTGATGAAATTTCAACTTGTTTTTTTTTTTTTAAATTAATTTACGAAAATTTTTTTTTAAAAAAAACAACGAGGCAAACAAAGAGAATAATGGTTTTCTTATTGAAATTTATTCCGCTTAATTAATTCCAAGAACAAAATTACACAAAAATAAATGATAAATGTAAGTATTCCTGATAGTTATTGCCTGAATAGATCTCGGGGGAAGTAATTACCATTTATATAATTTACCAAATCGATTATTAATGTTCTTTGCAAGAACCAAGTTTATTTCCTAAAGCTATACATAAAAGTAAAAAAAATAAATATTAAAGTTAAACAAATTGATTAAGTAAATAATTTTTAATAAAAATCTTTACAACACAAATAAATATCGTGTAAAAATTTATCACATTATGCTTTAATATTTGTTTTAATTCTTTATTAAACGAGGTATTGATTTTATAAATAGAATAATATTATTATTATTAGCTG